AGTGCTGCATAAGATGAAATAACAACAATAATGTAATATTCAAGCATATAATTTATTACAAAGAAAAGGAAATATGTTTAAATTTAGAAGTGACATGGTNAGCATAATAAATAAATACAAAAAGAAGAAAAACAATAAGTTTTATTTGATGCGCTTAAGCTGCAAGTAAATAGAACTCATAAAATAAGTTCAGAATCTGGAGAAAACATGAAAAAAAATTACAGAACAATGAAAAGAGGGGAAAAAATAATAATAAAAATCTGAAGGAAAAAAATTAAGAAAAATCCGGAAAATGAAAGATATAATCTTTTCATCAGCTCACACGATTATATCCACAAAAAGAGTGCTTTCTAATATTTTATTAATATAGCCAAAGCAAAATATATCAATACAATAGCGTGAGGAGCACTCAACAATTTTTGCAAAAAAATTACAGCAAACAAAATAGAACCCAATAAGTAGAAATATATCACGTAAAAACTGAAAATAAAATATAAAGAAAAAACAGAATAAAATATGAAATGATATCAAACAAGCGAGTAGCGAATTTAAATGAACTTATATGAATGGGAAATTTTTTTCTTCCTTTTTGTATTTCTGTTCCTATGAAACTCTATTAATTTTGCATATAAATAATTGAAATCTCTTTTTTTTGAAGAAAATTTCTTAAAACAGTGATGAATGAAAAGTAATTGCGGAGGTTAGCGAGTGAAATGAGCTGAGGATGTTTGAACCTCCTATTAAATTAAATTAAATTTAAATTAATTTAAAATTAAATTTAAACGTTATTAATGATATTAAGATTATATATGAATTATTTTGGTATATAATATGTAAAATCATAGATTTTATGGCAGGAAATTTCATTATATGAAGCAAAACACGTATCGACAAGAATTTTTAAAAAAACGAAAGAGAAAAGGGAACTGAATAAAAAACATTTCAACAGTTGGAAAACAAAATTTCTTTTCTTTTTTTAAGAAATAACATATTCTCGCAAAAAATTTTCTTCACCTCTAATTACCAAATCTTAAAATTTTTTTTTAAAATGATCCGTCCATATTACATTTTAATTTCATCTCGAGTGGAAAGAACTTAATTTTGATGTGATTTTTTTAATCGTTGCAACCCAAATGAAATGTACTAAGAAAGACTGAATCTTTCAAAAAATATTTGCTTGGAGTATTATTGATTTGGTGCAAAAAAATTTGAAATATGCTGATTGTCGAAATTCTTGTTCAAAAATATTTGCGCATTTGCAATCGTAATTTTGAAATTATCACAAATAAATATTGTGCAAAATTCATTCGTAAATGAAACAGCGTGTTTTGTATAAGTAAGAGATAACAAACACTTGTATTCTGCAAAATGTAAAAATATAAATTTCGTCTCATAGCTGGGTAGTTACTTTATTTACGTCGCACTTGAACTGCACAATGAGCTATTAGCGACGGTATTTGAAACATCAATGGGGAGGATCCGGAAAAATGCTAGCAAAATTTTGATCCTCTGCAGAGAGGATGGTTCTCCCGCTTTGGAAGTCCGACGAACTGCGCACGAAATCGATCACTATATGGTAGAACAGTTTAGCGAAGACCGATGCCGCACACCTTCGGATCCTTTGCAGACTGATCAAAGTGGTCACCCACCCGCTTACTGACAGCAACCAGTATAGCTTGACTTCGGTGTTCTACTGGAAATCGTGTCCACACGCTCAGTCTACTGCGGGGCTTAGTTTCCTAGCATCAGATAAAGGAATTATATGTGATATTTTTATAGCTCGAAAAAAAAATCGTAACTTTTAATTAATTCTAAAAATGTTTATTTTATAAGTATACTTTTAAGCAATGTTCAAGTGTATTTAATTTTCTTTTTTTACCTTTCAATTTGCGTTTACATGATTCAGATTCTAGAATCTCGTTTAAGATTAAAAATTCTTAAAATCTATTATCTTTTTGTGTGTGTTTACCTTTCTAGATTCTTTGGATAATTATGCTTTAAGTTGTTTTCAGAAATCTTGTTCTTTGGTCTAAAAAAAAATGTTTATTTTTACTAAATGAACTTTTCCTGGAAGTATTTAAATAAGATTACGATTTTTTTTTAGTTACATTACTAAATAGTAAATATATTTAGTTGTATCTTATACTTAATGCTTAATAATAGACTTAGAATTTTATTAAGTTTCAAAAAATATTTTTAAATAAACTTTTTCTCATTGAAAATCTCAACAGCAATTTAAAAAACACATGCAATCATGTATATCGAATTTTGTAGGTAACAACCCTATATTTAAAGAGCAGAAAAGGATATTGAATCCATTTATTTCAGTTTCTTGAAAGTTAATATATTTCATTGTTTATTTTTCACTGTAGAATAAAAGTGTAACAGTTTAAGAAACTTTTTTGTTGCAGTTCGTGTTTTTATCAATAGTATCAACAAACCATCCATCAAGAGTTGTCTCAAAACAATAGAGGCAGAAAAGAATGCTAAGAAAATAATTTAAAAAACTTTGGCATTTACTTTTTTTGTTGATCTTGTTTTGATTAGAAAGTCGTGAAATATGTGCAAGAAAGAAAGACGTTTTTAACCTTGATATACTTTTTAGAGGTAAAGCACAAGAGCTCAGAAGACACTTTATAAACGAAAGGTAACTGATTAAAATCTTGAGGTAAAAGTTTTGCTGCTAGTAAGATCTTGCAGGGGCAAAATAAAGCTTAGTGTGCAAAATACTTACAGAGAGTCCAAAAATCCTTAATAACTCAACTTTGTCAAAAGAAACATTTAGTTTAGCGTAGAATATTTTTTTACAATGAAAAAAATAAATAGTGAAATAAATACATCTATGGAAAAAATTTACATAATAAGTAATCAAAGCATAATGTTTTTAAGAAGATGTTATAAAAATATTCAGTGTACTCAATAGTTTTATTTATGTATTAATCGAAACATTTAATACTGATTTAATGATAATGTCTTTAATTAATTTAGTAAACTATGTAAATAGTGTTGATGATGAAAATGAATACTTCGCGCATAGTAAACTTCTATTTTAAAATGTGTCATCTAACAATAAATAATAAGCATTGTAGTTTGTTCAGAATATGCCTGTAAAATAACGTTTAATTAGTTGTTTACACGTAGCAGAATTTTTCTACAACCATGATCAAGATTAAAAATATGTTTGTAAACAAGTTTGACTTGTTAAACTTATTAAATAATCAATAATCTACTACTTTCTGCTCGCTTAATATTTTAGAATGTTTAATAATTAGTGCATACTATACTATAATAAAATTTCACACTGAAAACATTAAATATTTTAAAATAATGGGTTAAACATATCTCTGTATTTACATTTCTTGAATTTTGACTGGGAGCAGGTTTTTGCTGCATCATTATTTATATTTCTTAGCAAATGATTGCAGATGGTTGAAAAATGAATAACAATTTGGTCTATTTAAAGTTTTGTTTATGCAGAAAAAGGAATAGTGCTAGCAAATTGGTACACCTTTTTACTCCAGAAAGTTAAAAATAAAGGAACGGTGATGATGTTTTTTTTATCTTAATCCGTCGCACCAACTAAAGTCGTGAAGACACTAAATGGATGTTCCCTCTCTAACTTAATATATTTTTTAGTTTCTTACTGGCCACTTTCCGGAAGTTGTTAAGACTTGGCAATTATTCTGCAGCAAATCATAATATGGAAATCTTTAAAAATATTTTGATACTATAAGCGTCATTGTGTTTTTATCGTCAAAAAATATATTTTTTGAATTATCAATACTCGAGTATTGAATATGAGATTTCCGTGCTGGTACGCTCCAACTTATGACGCTAAAGGGTTTTGTATGTTTAGAAATTTTTTTTTAAAAAAAAGTGTATTTTATAGTTTTGTTCGGGAGTGTTTATCATAATTAATAATTGTAGTTCCTCTCCTCTTAATGAGTTTCGTTTCTCTTGTGAATTATTGTTAGATAAGCAGAAAAATCTAGCAAGTGGTGGTCTTGATTGCTGCTAGCCCAGCAAGATAATCTAGCTACACAAGCTAGTTTTTGTATGCTGGACAATAAAATGAGCCAATACACACCATGGCATGCTAGTAATTTTGCTGGAACCAACAAATATTTATGCTACTGCATGCTGTTTTTTTTTTTTTTTTTTTTTTTTTTTTTTTTTTTTTTTTTTNTTATTTTTTTTTTTTTTTTTTTTTTTATTTTTTGCTAGGGTATAGCATTTTATGCTTGTCTAGCAAACAAATACCAGCAATAATTTTAACCTCGGTACTTTGCTGCATCACATTATAAGTGATGTAACAAAGTGATGTAATTATTTATTCATATCTTTGACACATAATTATTTAGTCTGGAGATGTATTTTTCAGTCTGAACAAGTAATACATGGAAAAGATATAAAACTTGAATTACGTGTATAATAAAACTGAGTAGTAAAATGATGAGTGAACGGTATTTAGAATTTGTAAAATTATTTCATAAGTTATAAAATTAATGACAAGTTATTAGATAGTTACAGTGGAATAAACATTAGGAAAAACGTACCTTATCACAGTAACAATATGAGTGTAGGTTAAAAGATTTGAGACTTTTAAGCGAAATTTCCCTCCTTTCATTTGTTTCCAGTAAATACCTTAAAGATTAGACTAATTTTTATTTATATTTTAAGCACCATAGATTGTTAGATTAGACTGTTTATTATTAAAGTTTGAATATCAAAGATATGCTCAATATAAATAATTGCGGGCAAAATCACGTATTTTAAAACCTCAACTTGGTTATAATCCTGGAGTGCAGACGACTGTAACATTACAAAGTTAGCCTGGTGAGAATATCTAAACTCTGGTGTTTGCCACCACAATTGAAAATCCAATAATTTATGTTAGATAAAACGGGAAATTTCAGCATTTTTTTCGGAGTTTTATGTAATGTTTTAGCAGTTTGAAATACAAACGTGTAATACCAATCAAAGTACGTTGATCTACTTACCTTTGAGCTTTGAAAATAGCTATTGAATCACTTACTGTTGTTCGCGAAAAATGCCTTATTAAAGGCATTTTATATCGTTTAAGTTCTTGAATCCGGGAACTTGGAGCAAACTTTCTGTCTGAAAAATTGGAAAATTCGTTGACACTACAAAGTTCTTGAATTTCACTGATTGGACTGATGAAAAATCTGAGCATGCGCATTGTTCATATTCAAGATTATTAAAATCATAACTATATGTAGACAAAATTGCGGAATAAAATCACTTATTATCCACTTTTTAAAATGAAAGCATTACTCAATCCTTTCCAAATTTTTATTTATATTGGAGTTTGAACAATAATATTATTTTATACTGAGTGTACGGTACGGTACTTTTTATTTACGTCGCACTACAGCTGCACATTGAGCTATTGGCGATTCCATATTAAGAGAAAGACATACGTATTTGATCGAGCATGCACATGCAGGATTCAGTGTTCATTCCAAAGAACGGCTGATAAGGACTTCGAACCCTCTACCTTCACTCTAAAGATCATTCGGAAGAACGAGTCCATTCTGTTTTGTTTATGTGTCTCATTATTATAATAACTCGCGTTTATAATTATTTTAATGATTTGTAAAAGTTGCAGTGAATTAGAAATACCGTGTAATTTAAACACTGAAACATGGTCACAAAGAAGGTCTCAGGTTCATACCCCGAAGTTACTAAACGGCCTCAACACTTTCTGTCAAATATCATACTAACTCTTAGCTACGGATTTACTTTCTAGAAGTCATTCTGTATGGTAAGTATTAAACAATATTTCGTAACATTTAGTGATTTTCTGCTATTCCACTTAAAAGATATTCTATTTTTAACCGATTAATAATACACCTTTACATTTAATTTAAAAATAACCTCACCCATTTCCTGCTACATTTTTATCTTTTTTCATTCAACTAACTACTTGGTTCCATCTCAGTGATGGTAGTTAAAGCAAATTCTGCTCCCGGCTTTAAATGACCACAGTGCTGACGTAAAATATCCTCAGTAGTAGACGGATCATGGGTTAGTATCCCCTGTGGTCGGACTTACCGTGGGAAGTTTTCATGGCTTTCCTCTCCATATGACGCAAATGTGCATTAGTTCCATCAAAATTCACTTCCTTAAAATTAGTCTGTCCCAATTCTTGATGAAAGAGCTGCCTTGTCTTCTGGGTTGTGTTTGAAATAACAATGCTATGAATATAATATGAACACCAAGAAGAATATTAATAGCTGCTAACTCGAAAATGGATAAGTTGTAAAGCACCGGTTATAAAGTAAAATAAAATTTTTAACTGAAGTTGTAGCGTTTTTTTTTTTTTTTTTTATTGAAAAAATGACGCTATTTATCCGAAACTTTCCATTTAGTTTAATGAATATGTATTCTACCCGAAAATCAACCTTTACTAGCTAAATATTTTCATAAAAAATGTTAAATTTGTTAATGGTTTTCAGAAACACTTCAAAATTCTATAAACTTACATTAGAAAATTTGCCAGCCCAAAATAAAATTCGTGACGTCACAAACCAACATGATATTTTAGTGATGTTCGTCGAATATTGTAGATTTGTAGTTATTTTATTCGAAAAGTATCAAAGTAAGCTATAAGCTGCCTAAAACCATCTTGATTAACTTTCTCTACCAATCCATCAATATCTATCAAAATTTCCCTCCTAATTTTGTGTTTGATTTAATTTTTAAATATTTATACGTAAAAATGATTTATACGATATGGCTTTAAATGCCGNTTTTTTTTTTTTTTTTTTTTTTTTTTTTTTTTTTTTTTTTTTTTTTTTTTTTTTTTTTTTTTTTTTTTTTTTGCTAGGGTATAGCATTTCATGCTTGTCTAGCAAACAAATACCAGCAGTAATATTAATTTGGGTACTTTGCTACATCACAGTAGAAGTGATGTAACAAAGTGGTGTAATTATTTATTCATATCTTTGACATATAATTATCTAGTCTGGAGATGTATTTTTCAGTCTGAGCAAAATGTAAGTAATACATGGAATAGATGTAGATCTTGAATTACATAAATAATAAATCTGAGTAGCAAAATGATGAGTGAACAGTTTTAAGAATTTATAAAATTATTTTACAAGTTATAAAATTATTTACCAGTTATTAGATAGTTACAGTGGAATAAATCTTGGGAAAAACAGATCTTATCAGTAACAATATATGTGTAGATTAAACAATTTTGAGACTCTTAAGCAAAATTTTCCCCCTTTCATTTGTTTCCAGTAAATCCCTTAAAAATTAGACTAATTTTTATTCATATTTTAAGCACCTTAGATTGTTAGCTTAGACTGTTGAATATCAAAGATATGCTCAATATAAATAATTGAGGACGAAATCATGTATTTTAAAACCTCAACTTGGTTATAACCCTGGTGTGTAGATGACTGCAACATTACAAAGTTAGTCTGATCAGAATATCTAAACTCTGGTGTTTGCCACCGCAATTGAAAATCCTATAATTTAAGTTAGATAAAACGTGAAATTTCAGCATTTTTTCGGAGTTTTATGTAATGTTTTAGCAGTTTGAAGTGCAAACTTGCAATACCAATCAAAGTACGTTGATCAACTTTCCTTTGAGCTTTGAAAATAGTTATTCAATCACTTACAGTTGTTCGCGAAAAAGGCCTTATTAAAGGCATTTTATATGGTTTAAGTTCTTGAATCCCGGAACTTGGTGGAAACTTTCTGTCCGCAAAATTGTATAATTCGTTGACACTACCCAAGTTCTTGAATTTCATTGATTGGACTGATGAAAAACCTGCGCATGCGCATTGTTTATATTCAAGATTGTTAAAATCATCTTTACATGTAGTCAAAATTGCAGAATAAAATCAATTATTATCCCTTTTCTAAAACGAAACGCGTTATTCAATTCTTTCCAAATATTCTATTCTTTTATATTGGATTTTGAACAATATTATTTTATATTGAGTGTACGGTACGGTACTTTTTGATTACGTCACACTAGAGCTGCACATTGGGCTATTGGCGACTCAATATCAAGAGAAAGACATACTGAATTGATTTGTCATGCGCATGCAGGCTTGGGTGCTCATTTCGAAGAACGGCTGATAAGCCTTTGTCAAGTTTAAAAACAAATAGCACAAGTTATAAAAGAACAACGCAAAGATACACCCGGGATTACAGTGGACTTCGAACCCTCTACCTTCACTCTAAAGATCATTTGGAGGAACGAGTCCAATTCATTTTGTTTATATTTCTAATTATTATAATAACTCGCGTTTATAATTATTTTAATGATTTGCAAAAGTTATAGTGAACTATAAATACTGGGTAATTTAAACATTGAAAGATTGTCACAAAGAAGGTCTCAGGTTCGTGTCCCGAAGTAACTAAAAAGCCTTAGCAATTTCTGGCAAATATCATACTAACTCTTAGCTACGGATTTACTTTCTAAAAATCATTCTGTATGGTAAGTGCCGTATTAAACAATATTCCGTAAAATTTAGTGATTTTCTGCTATTCCGCTTAAGAGATAGTCTATTTTTAATCGATTAATAATCCACCTTTACATTTAATTTAAAAATAACTTCACCCATTTCCTGCTACATTTTTATTTTTAATTATTCAACCAACTACTTAGTTCCATCTCAGCGATGGTAGTTGAAGCAAATTCTGCACCCGGCTTTAAATGACCCCAGGACTGGCGTAAAATATCCTCAGTAGTAGACGGATCATGGGTTAGTATCCCCCTGTCGTCGGACTTACCGTGGGAAGTTTTCATGGCTTTCGTCTCCTAATGACGCAAATGTGCATTAGTTCCATCAAAATTCCTTCCATTGAAATTAGTTTGCCCCAATTCTTGATGAAAGAGTTGCCTTGTCTTCTGGGTTGTGTTTGAAATAACAATGCTTCGAATATAATACGAACATCACAAAGAAGCTGCAAACCCGAAAATGGATAAGTTGTAAAACACCGGTTATAAAATAAAATAAAATTTTTAACTGAAGTTGTAATGTTTTTTTTAATTTTATTTTTATTTTACAGCAATATCTTATATGCTGCTAATACCTGAAGAAGAAAAAAAATTAAGTCTATATAATATCACTAATGATTACAGTCAATGCTATTGGTTTCGGTGGAGAGTTAGTTTAAAAAAAAATTCATAAATATGGCCGTGTTCCATATGGAAAGTTTCCTTTTGCCACGTCGATGAAATGTCGACGATTTTGTAACGCTTGATGAATTTTTGAAACATTTCTATCATATAAAAACATTTTCAGATGATAAGATCACAATTATTGTTTCACTTTTTCTTTTTCTTCATCGTACATAATCACGAATCATATTTTTTAAATGGTTGATCTTGGATGTGGCAGATGTCGTAAAAGTTCTAATAATTTGTACTTCACATAAAAAAAAGTCGTTGAAAGCGCATGTACCCATGAAGTTCCACCTTTTGAACAATTTAAGAAAATGGCTAGTTACATCAATCTCTGAAGTAATAGAAATTGAAAATACAACATAATCATATAATGTCATTCACTCATAACAGATGTAAATCTTTATAATGGCTTATTATTGGGGAGATACACTTTTTAATCTACCTTTAAAAAATTTTGAAGTCGCGTTCCCAGCTCTGAACTCTTAGCTTCGTTAAGCATTTGGACAGTTTTATTGTATTCAGGCTTATCTGTGATCTGAGTGGAAAGATTGAATAATGTAGTTGTTACCGTGAATGATCGAAATCAAGAGAATGTCGACTTTCACCAGTAAATGTCAGAAGTCACATAATCGCTTTGGTGAATGTCCAAAATACTTGTCATATCCGATTTTATATTAATTTGTTGGTTCATGTTATTATATTTATTTGATATTTTAATATCTGCTGAGGATAAATTAGGAGAAACATCGCTGTTCGGGATGCCGGTTAAATGCATGCTGAACAGTGGCACTTGACATTTAAAAAAAACATTGATGTAGGGCATACCGGGCAGTGTCACTTAACTAGACCTAGTATATATTTCGGACATTTACCAAAGCAACTATATGATTGTCAATATTCGCCGGCGCATCCACCAATTTCAGTCATTCTCAGTAACATAGTCTTCACGAAATAAATGTCATGTCAATTTTGACTTAGAAATTATAGTGACTGATTTTTTTTCTCATTTTCTATTTAGGAAAAATGTGAACTTATGGTTTAAAATAGCTTAGAACGTTCGATTATACAATTTTTTTGTACTGTTTCATCCTCAAAGAAAAAGCCATTAAGAGTGGGTATATCTATGAGTTTCTTTCTTTTGCCCAATTTTGGAACATCTTTCGCACAATTTTCTAGTTAGATCATCTATAAAGCAAAGTACAATATAATCATAAGATGTAATTTCTTCAGAACACATGTAGATCTTAATAATAGCCTGTTATTGAGAAGCTTTAATTTTTAATCTACTTATAAAACTTTGAAGTCGCTCTCTATCTCACAAATTTAAAATAATATTTTAATAGTTTCGTTGAGTTCAGACTAATGAGTCTTCCAATCAGATTGTTAAAGTGAAAAAATTGATTCTTTAAGAGATAATTGCTGAACTCCATTTTAATTCTGACATAAGATTGCAGTGACTGATATTTTTTTCACTCAATGTTACGGAAAAATGCGAATTTATGGTTCAAACATAGTAAAAAGTTGAGAAACATTTTAACACTTTGTTTATAGGCAATTTTGCACAAAAGCTATGTTATGTCACAAGCAATTTTTGTAATTGAATATGGATGTAAAGTGAAACATTCTAAGTATTGCTATCATGCCCAAACGTTGTTCACCGACGATGGGTTAATTTGGCATTGCAAGTGCAATGAAGATTTAATTCGTCAATAGTCAACAACGTTTCGGCACTAAAGGAACAGTTAACTTGTCAATGGTCAACAATGTGTTAATGCAATTCGTTTTGCATTGATTTGTAAACTAATATTAGTCTAAAGAAGGGTGATTTTCCTTAACTATTGAAGGATTTAATAACGCAGTCATTTCATACTTTACCTCACTATTGTGACCACTTTAATTCTTTATATCATTGTCTATTTCATCGTTAATGTATTTTTAATAGGCCTTTTTTGAATTCATCAATTTGCACATGGTAATTATTTAAGTTGTAATTCATTTTAAAAGAGTATTCAAGCATGTTTCTCTATGTAATCCTTATTATGATTGAGTCTTAAAATAACGAAAAACTTTTAAAGATGATGACTGATATATTTAAAATCTCTATTTCAGATTTTCACTGAGCTATAATTATAAAAGACAGGCGTTCGATCGTCAGTGGCGGCTGGAAGCTCATCCATCTTGTCTAAGAAGAAAGCCGGCTTGTGCGCAATGCTGACCACATTGCCATACTCGTTATATATACAGATACACAGAGAGAGAGGGGGAGCTAGACATCGGCTAATTTGCCAATCCGCAAATTACTTTACGATAAGAAGATAAGTAAATAAGAAAAGTTAAAAGCTACTGTCTTACTACCAGGAGAAGGCGACTGAATCCATAATAGAGGTTACATGAAAATTTAAACCAAAAAAGGATCGAGGAAGTGATAACTGGCGGGAGAAAAACTTGTCGTCAATGACAATTCTGTCGCAATCAATGTAATTCTGCTCATTCCCAAGCGGTAGTAAACTGCTACTAAGTCAATCGTTTTCTTACAACGGGTGGAAAATTATGTGTTAAAACAACGTATAATAAATTGTTGTTGAAAATGTTTTCAGAAAAATAGCATTGCTTAGTCGCATTGTTAGAATGCCGATATGTAAATATTGCGGATATATACAAAAGTGAATTGAATTCAACGAAAAAACAGATGCATATGGAATTTATTCAAAAAACCAATATAAAAATTATGAAAACAATATCAGTATACAAACAACAACCATGCTTTTTTAACAAGTGCTTGGTATATGGACGAATCGACTGACCTCAGCTACACATGGAACTCTAAAAAGAATATTCAAATTAAAATTTTAAGGAAAATATATAAATAAGTTTAGTCTCAAAATAACATACATTTGATACATGAAACTAACATTCAAATATTTTGTTCAATTATGTATAGTCTAGTTCTGTTCTAATGTGCACTCGAAATTTTAGTTTAAATATTATCGCGAAATATTTTCACAATTGCAACAAAATAAATTAAACGATTGAATTAGAGAGCCAAATATTGTCTAAAAAGATAACAGGCTCAACGAATTTACAGTTTATACCACTGAATTCCAATCCTATTTCCCGTGTTTTGTGGTCAGATTTGACACTACAGATGAATTCTCAAGCTTGGTTGTACATTTTATCCATGAGAAGTTAGTTCCTTTAGAAAAATATGCTCATTGAACATTCTCCCCCTATACTTTTATCCGATATAGCGTTACAAATGGGAAGTGTCCGGGCGAGTAATAGAGGTTTTTACGGTCACCCTCAATGCCTCAATGTTTGAATTTCACAGCGCATGCGGAATAATTTTCCTTTAAAAAGTATAGCCAAGGGGCATAAAATAAAGTTTGTATTGCCTTCAACTTAAGATAAACACTTTTTAATACATTATTCTAACACATAAGCTAAAAATTGAACTGCCACTTAACATTTATAACCGTAACTTTCGAAGAGATTCATCACTGCCGACAAAACAAAGCAAATAGATAAGGGTCAAACTATATTCATCAGAACATTTAATTTCCTTTGAGTATTCAGAGTGCATGAAGATACACCTAAATACTTTCTCCTTTATTTCCGTTAGAGCAGATTTCTTGATGTTAATTATGTCATATAACTAATACAGTGACAGCAAATCCTTTCACCTGTAGGGTCATCTATGTTAATAAAACTGAGGTAAATAAGTAAACTTTTCAAGATATTCTGCACTTCTAACCCTATTATGTGCACTTTTCTATGTAAAAACCCATCGACCCATCCGAGTCTGATTGTTGACTTTGAAATCAAGAGTCCGGATCTTGACTAGTAGGTCAACAACAATTTGCTGAAATCTTGAATTTTTTGTGTTAAGTTTTACTTATAAAAGCTAAGTATACCTCACTGTGGATAAGTTATGACCTTTCGAAAAGTTTTCGAATGTAATGACATTTCTGTGGATGTTTAAGGACGTTTGCGGCAAGAAAAAAAAGGAAAGGAAATTGTGAATTACTATTCCTAATTATTTTGCTCATGAAAGCTTATACTTCACACCATCATTAGATGTTAGATTGCTTATGAAAATTGCTCTAAAACGCGTTTTTGATGCTTTTTCAATATTTTCAAGATAACTCTGGCATTCATTGGCATAGCATGGGGGGGGGGCAAGTTCCCCCCTTCATTTCCTTAACTTCAGAATTTTTTAAACCCCATATCCCTCAATAGCTATTTTTTTTTTTAATTTAGAAGTTTAAAAACCTTAAAAAAATTGCAACTCTTCGATAATTTATATATAATTGAACGAAAATATTTTATGATTATCACTTTTATGCAAAAATTAATCTTAAAAACCAGTTACAGATTTTTTTTAATATTATAATTTCCCTCAGTTTAGTTAATGTTTAGTTTTTTTTTAGTTTAGTTAATGCACAATATAGTTTTTTCAGTTGTAATTACTATTTATCAACACTATACATTACTGACAAAAGTTTTTTTAATATTCTTTTGATTTACTAGGAGGCATCTTTCACCAACCCTCTTCTTTAAAAAAATCATTCTTCTATAATGTACAATAATTACAGATTTGTGTAAAGGCATTCTATCTCTATGTAAACAGCCTTTCCTTAAGCAGCAAATGTTTTAGAAGATCTTCCGTGGTAAATTACTGTCACAATTTGAAAGATCAGGCTTAAAGTTATTAGAACTGGTGTCTTTTTTTACCAGTGCAAAAACCGCGTCGAGCAACATAAGTATAGGAAGTTGAAAGCTTTTGAGACCTAGACCACTATAGTTTTAAAATCATTCTTATATAAATATCGCAATCCTATAGAATGATTTCAAAATTTCTGGTATTAAAGGTAGAAAGAAGTTATTAACTTAATCTCTTCATTTTGGATCATTCCGAATTTGACATGGGTAAAAAGGACATCATTTCTAAAAGCTTCAAGCCTGATCTTTCAAACTATGTCAACAGTTTTGCCATGCGAGAATCTTCCGAAACATTTGTGGCTAAAAGAAATATTGTTTACACAGAGTTAGTGTAGAAGTATTTCCATATTTTTTAAATGCGCAATCCTTTCCCACNTGTTTCTTTTGTTTTGAAAATTTCATCGTTTATTTGTATCAGTACAAGTCGTTTCTGCATTAAATTTCATTTGATTCTGATGATTCTTTCATGGTGTTGCATTTTCTACAAACAGCAGTTTAGAATTAGTATAGAAGTATTTCCATATTTTTTAAATGTGCAATCCTTTCCCACAGAGAAAGTAAATATATTGTACTAATTATCTCAAAAATTATGATGATGCATCTTTAGTAGTTTAGAAAATTGATCAGTACCATGGTACTAAGACCTATTAATAACGATTTTCACCGAGGAGGAAAAATATTTCCAAATTGTAAATTTTTAGGAAGGTTTTATATATTTTTCAAAAATATTTATGTGATTTGTTAAATCCAGATAACTGTTAACAGTAAAATGGTGTGTATAGTTTAAAACAATAACTTAGCTTGAAGTTTAGGACAATAAACTGTAGCTTTTTATTATTATTTTCTTTGGCGAAAGTGACTCATAAAACAACCTTCAGATATTTCATTTCAAGTAAATAAAAATCTAAGAAGAAAAAACAATTACCTCTAATGTTCTTTTAATAAAGTGGAGATCTGTACAATTTCATGGCAGGAGGAGCAAAAAGGTATCTTTCATTTGGCAAATAGATATCTTCTGGTGACGGATGGAGGGGTGGTTGAATTTGAAGAGTTGCTGGATGATGACTGTAACGCCATAAACGAGAAGCATGTTGAAGAGGAGGTACAAAATAACCACGCTCTACTGGAAGGGAAAAAAATAACTGTTGATTATATGCGCTCTATGAACCTCAATTATATAGTGTTTTATGTTAACAATTTCTACAGCTAATTTGGTTTTTATTGCTTTTTTTTTATGTGAAAATTATTTTTCAACCGTTTTAAAGCTCGTATGCTTGAAAAATGTCTTATTCTTTCAAGTTCAATAAATAAGATATTTTCCAAATATACTAAAATATAGCTCTATTGAAATATAGTAAAACTATAATGAATTCCACAGAATTCTTATATAGGATATATATTTTTTTGGATCGGTTTTCTAATTTTAAAATTTTTATTGCCAGAAGCAAATATACGAGTATACTTGACTCTGTTGATTGATTGGCCAAAAGAGACCCTCTAGTAGTTAACTAATTGCAATAAGCAAAAGAAAGGTTGTTGAATTTTCAAGAATAAAATAAACGATATTAGCATTACATTTTAGAATTACTATATCAAAAACTTCTTTCACTTCAAAAATATACAAAGGGAAATAACAGTTGACATGTTTCAAGCTCTCGATAACAGACATCCATTTTTTAAGACTTGCCAGACGTGAATGACTGAAATATAAAATGTAAAGTTGCCAACGGAAAAATTGAAAAACAAAAGTGAGGTAGGATGGTATTTTATTTACGTCGCACTACACGTACACAGTGGACTATAGGCGGTGGTCTAGGAAACATCCCTGAGAATGATCCGAAGACATGTCATGGCAATTTTGATCCTCTGCAGAGGCGATGGCACCCCTGCTTTGGTAGCCCGATGATCTGCGCGAGAAGGCTAGCACTTTACAGTAGAACAGCTTAACGAGGGCCAATACCGCTCATCCTCAGTCCTTACGCTGACTTATCAAATAGCTCATTGACTGCAGCCAGTGATGCTTGTCTTCGATGTTCTGCTTTGAACCGACACCGACAGTGTGAATCAAATCTGGAAAAACCACAGTGGCCGAGAGAGGCAGATCAGGGTAAAATGCAATTCAACGTGCTACGCAGCGGGAAGAAACTAATGGCGTTATGAGGGCAAACAGCATTCATATGATTAAAAGAAGACTCCAAGGCATCAAGATGAGCTGATGTGACTGGGGTGGAAATAATTTTGGCTTTGTTGAAATTATTTCCGATTCGAAGACACCAATTTCCAATTTGTATATTTTTGAACCGATTAAAGCTCTTATCAACTAACATCTTACCCTTTCAGTTTCAGGAGATTATTTATTTAGTTACATAGCAGTATTTAAAGTTAGTTTTTATTATCTATGTTTCAATTGTTCATTGTTGTTTTTAATAGCCCATGAAATGCTTTCATTAAAAATATGCATACGATTTTAAAGGATCGGAATAAATGTGGAGATTATTGCAGAATAAAAAACATGAATAAAATGCAAAAATAAAATGAAGTAAGGGAAGATAATTAGGATGTTTTGCAGTCAAGCAAACGTAGGCAACTTAAGAAAATAAAGACTCTGAAAAACGCACAAGCTGAGTTTCAAAAAAGAGATTGGAAACCAGTCTTATTTGTTTAAGGAGCATTGATTTATAACAACAAAAAGAAATACCAATCATCTATAAAATAAATTTGCACCTGCAAGTGTTCCATTAAAATATAATAGCTTCAAAATTTCCCTATCTTCCATAGTAAAAATTGATACAAAAATAGTATAGTAATGAAAGTATATCGATCAAAGAAAATAACTATAATTGGCAGCTTTCACCTTTTTACAAGCTATTCAAGTTCGAAGTCAATAAAAACAAATAATTGTCAGCAGTCTAAAAAGCTTCCTGATTACCTACAGATAGCAATTATACAATGCTTAATCCGTCAAACTAAATTATAGAGAACAGCAGCTATTACGGGGAATAAGAGACAGATTGTTTACAATAAAAGAAACACAAAATCAAAATATTACCAGCACTCAATATCTTTTTACATCTTCAAAATTACACTATACTATCTCTCTCAACTACGTATGGCTTTATAAGTAGTGTACTAAGTATGTTAATTTTCTAATCTGACCACATCTGTAGCTGATGGTTAGTTGGATAAAAAAACCAATGAATAAAAACAATGAATGGCGTTGATTTTGGAGCGATATCAGGCGTATAAGTTCTGCTTAAAATGTGAATCGGTAGCAGCAAGTTACAAATTATATGTTTATGATCTCATTGAGTACATCCGGGGACAGGTGAATTATAGAGTAATTGATGATGATTTGGCCTCAACAACCAGCAAGAACACCTAGGAAGTGAAGTAAGGATTCGATAAAAGAGGTCTTAACATTTTTCACTGCTATATCATGTATGAAAAATTTAATTTTGGGATGAGTTTGAGTTCAGTTTAGTTGCTAAATTTAGTTTCGAATGATGATAAATTGAATTGTATATTTTTTATTTGGGAAAATTTGCTAAGGCTGGTTTCACGAAATTTATGAAAAATCAGTTATTTTAATTCCAATTATTATTGATTCTGAGAAAAATGCGTTAAAATTCGACTTGAGATAAGCTTTCAAACAATGAGCAATTTGCTAACTATCGTTGTATAATATATTGTTACTTAAGAATTACTTTTTTTAACGTAGAACTTTTATAACTATGGATAACATTATTAAATGACACTGCGTAGTAAAATTTTAGATAAACTTTTAAATGGCGTAAAATTTTAAAACTGTAGATGTCGAAGATTTTGTAGCTTAAGAAATATCTTGTTGTGACCTATTTAATTAAAAAAACAATATATATATTTTTTAAAAAAATGAAAAATATGCAATTGTTTGAGCAAATAACTTTTTTTAATGCATGACTTCTATGAATCACGCTATTATGTTTGAGATATTCAAACTGAGCTTTCAAATTAAACGTAACTTGCAATTTTTAAATCTTAAATTCTTAAATATATTGCTAACCAAGATCTCAAATATATTTGCTTAATTAAACAATATATATATACATATATGTTGTTTTATTAAACAAGAATATTTTAGAAAGAAAAATACGCAATGTTTTGACCAAACATTTCTACAATGTAGGACTCTTCACGTTCAAATCGCGTTCTTAAATGACGTTAATTTAATGAGTTTAATTTAAATTTAGATTTTAAATTGCTCACGACTTGTGAGCTGTTACTGTAGTACAACATAAAATGTATTATATATCCCCTATTATAAAGCGTTCCAATAAAACATGGTATTAAAATGTTACATTATTTTTTTGTGATTGGTTCATTAATAAATTATTTTTATTTCTTCACAAACACAATTCTTGTAAAAAAAATTTAAAAAATTAAATCCGTTATATCAAAACACTAGATCGTTTCATAAAATATAAATTATTGCGCTTAATAAAATATAAATACAGTTTATTTGTAACGTGATCCTAAGAATAAAAAGGTTATTTTCTTTTTTAATTCTCTACTAAAATGAATTAATGAGTTATTTTTATTCATCATGGCTAGTCGAGGAGGAGAAAAAAAATATCGAATTTCACTGTTTAGGTTAATGTAATTTCGTTCTNNCACTTGCGGCGTAACTACCACTACTTGTGAGCTGTTACTGTAGTACAACATAAAATGTATTAGATATCCCCTATTATAACAGAACATTATTTTAAAGTGAAAAGTATAACGAAATTATTTGAACAAATTATTCGAAAATTTTTTTTGCTCGATAACCGCAAATAAGATGGCACAGTAAAATTTTGATGGAGCAGAAATTCAACTGTGATACATAATTATTTATATTACAACTGTACCTAATTACTGGTACAAAAATAAATAGTTTAGCTGTTTTCCCATTATAAAATTTAGTATCGTCTATCTTTTACAGTTATTAACTTTCTCATCCACAAGAAATATAAATAATCAACTAAAAATTTTAAAGAAAGCATTTTTTTCTTTCTCTTGATAAAAAAAAACTGAAGAAAAATTCCCCATCTTAGAACTAATTCTAGGAATCCAAAAATAAGAATCACAGCCTTCTTATTCTTAGTTCTAAATTCCAAATTCTATCCCAAATGAATCGAATAAAAATTTTGACAATTTAGTTTTACACAAAACACATTTAAAGATGCAAGTAACAAAGAATATTCTTCTGTATTTGACTCTATTAATATATTATCGTAACTGCATTTATCAAAAACTGATCAGAAAGTGTAAAAAAAATGTTACACCAGACATTTAAATTATAGTTTTTTTGTTAATAATTAGTTTTATATAATTTGTTCATTGTTATTATTTTCTATAAGTAGTACAAATTTTCGTTTGGATAAAAGTATTTGTGCTCCTTTACAAAATACTGACGTTTTTAGAAACTGATGATAAACGCAAACTGATAAACTTTCAATTTATAACACAAAACTTTTTTTTAAAAACAAAAACTATATTAATTTTTTTTGTTTTGAAACCTAGTGTATTTACCTTTTAATTCATAAATTTGCATTTATTTTATTTTTTCGAGTGAACAACTAACAATATTTTTAAAAAAAGTAATTAATAAAAAAATTTTGGTTAAATGAAAGTAATGAAAATTAAAATCTTGAAAAATAAAAAAGATATAAAGTAAATTAAATTAAATGCTAATTAAAAAGTTTTCCTGCTTAAAACTTGGGTATAAAAAATGCACAAAATTGAAATATCTGGTCTTTTATTACCTGATTAAAGACTACATTCGTTTCAAAAATATACAAATAGGAAATAACAGTCGACTTGCTTCAAACAACATGTTTCGACATATTTCAAAAATAGGAACCTATTTTTTAAGCGTTTGAAACATGTCAACTGCTATTTCCCATTTGTATATTTTTGAAGCGAATGAAGTTTTTAATCAGGAAATATCTTACCACTTAAAATTCTTGGGATTATTTACTTAATCTAGTTTTTTTAATCCCTTAAAAAACAAATGTAATTTAATTCATTTAAATTATTTATAAACAATTATATATTTTCTTTATTTGTTGATGAACTAACTAATGATTTATCAATAAATAA